AAGTTCTGAACTCTACCCTGTTTGTCAAGTCGATTTCACTGTAGCTTTCTGCTTTAGTTCTACTTATTCTCAACTGAGGACTAAGAAACACCTTCAGGCAAAAAACCCATATAGACACAAATCTCAACCACTGTGGTCCCTTCTTTCAAGGGTTATCTTCTTCCTTATTTCTCTGTTTATGGCTTCTTTCAGATTGTTTTCATGTTTTGTTCTGAACTCATTATCTGTAAGAGAGTCTGACACAATTATTCCTCCATTACCAGAAGCAGAATTATTTTAAAAATACAAAAAATAAACATCAATTTTATAAGTTGATGTCAGTTAATTATTTCAGCAACTATCTACCAAGCATTTACTCTGGACTAGATACTATTTACTAGAAAGCATTCCAGATATAAGATTTATATTAGCACATGCTGTGTGCTTAGTCGCTCAGTCGTGTCCAACTCTTTGCAACCAACCCCACGGATGGCAGCCTGCCAGGCTCCTCTGTCCATGGGGATTCTCCAGGCAAGAATACTGGAGTAGGTTGCCATGCTCTCCTCCAGGGGATCTTCCCAAGCCAGGGATCGAACCCAGGTCTCCCACATTGCAGGTGGATTCTTTACCATCTGAGCCACCCTGGAAGCTCATATTGGCATGTAGTCAACTTAAATATGCCTGGTTTTTTAAACCTCAAAATAAAATCTTATTCAGAGACATAATCCCTGCCCCCCCAAATAAATAAAATACCTTTACTTGTTATATCATAAATATTTCATATGGGACTTTTTTTTTCAGATTTCTGAGGTCAAAGGGATTTGCAGTTGAGTTTAACAACATCAACATTAGTTGCAGTTAAAAATTCTCAGCTTTCTTCAGCTAGTTTGAAATCTGTCAAAATATTTCTTTCATGAAAATCCCCAGGATGGAGCCACTCTTTCGTAATAATGAGACCTCTGTTGCTTCTTGATTTGGAAGAGAAGAAAGAAGCTTTGGAATGAGAAACATCAAAAATAAAAGACACGGCTAGCACAGTGGTCCTTCAGTATCACACTTGGGACAGAGAAGCGCCCAGTAACCCCAGACGGTTACTTGCTTCCGCTTTGACTTACCACTTTCCTCCCTTGGGTGTGGCTGCTGCACAAACAGCTTTAGCTTTTTAATGTATGTAAATAAAATAAAGGTCAGCAGACTCCAGTGTTAAAGGTTGCTTGTTTATTTGGGGGTGAGAGGTCCAGGGTAGGAGAAAGACAACCTGTTGCTGGAAGCTTCCATGTAGGGCTCACCTCAGTTCTTGGGTTAGTTCCTTATCCTCACTCTTAAATCCTTAATCAAGACTTAACGTCACCCACACAGACTGGAAAGAGGCCGAAGAGGGGCAAAAAGACAGGCGGGAGATGCTTCTTGCTTTGTAGTTTTGTCTGGCTCTGACTTTATTAGGGAATCGCATGGGAAACATTAAGACTAAGCTCCAGTGACTCCTCTGTGAGTCTCGCTATTATGCATAAGGTTGGATATAAGCCAAATGTCCTTTTTATTTCCAGCTTTCCAGCATCCATATGTCAATCCCAAACTCTTAATTTATCCTTCCTCGTGACATTTCTCCTTTGGTTACCGTTTGCTTTCAAAATCTGTGTCTTTTTTTTGTTTGTTTTGTACATAAGTTCATTTGTATAATTTTTTTTAGATTCCACATATAAGTGATATCATGTTATTTTATATATGCTACTGCTACTGCTAAGTCACTTCAGTCGTGTCCGACTCTGTGCGACCCCATCCCTGGGATTCTCCAGGCAAGAACACTGGAGTGGGTTGCCATTTCCTTCTCCAATGCATAAAAGTGAAAAGTGAAAGTGAAGTTGCTCAGTCATGTCTGACTCTTCGCGACCCCATGGACTGCAGCCTACCAGGCTCCTCCGTCCATGGGATTTTCCAGGCAAGAGTACTGGAATACATATATACATACATACATTATATATAGTAGTGTCTAACTAAGATACATTTGTTTTTAATAGCTGAAGTTACTTTCATTACCATTTTCTCTCTTACTTTTACTGAATACTTGAAATGTATTCCCAACATTACAGCCATCTTACCATAAACTCTGCATCTTACTTTCTGGTGAATCCTCAAGAACTCTACTGGAAATGGTGTAAGGCTGAGAGCAAACATTTGTGCCCGTGGAGCAGCGGGCTGGCCCAGCTGTGCAGCCAGGGGAGCTGCCCCATCGCGCTAACCTCGCATCTTTCACGCAGTGGAGTGTTAGTGACCTGTTTATCAGTCATGTCACTTTTCTTCCAAAGAAAACAGCTCCGTCGTGTACGCTTGATGGACTCCCGGGGGCGAGGGGGTGCAGAAGCAGGACAGTCAGCTGGTGTGGCTTTGAAGTGTGCCCCCAGGGCTTCCCCCTTTCCCCGCTCAGCTGTGGAAGCAGAGAAGAAGCTTCAAAGCGGCCTCACTGTGGACCCTGCTGGTAGGGGGTGTGACTCCCATCATCAGGCTTTAGAGAAAAACGAGGAGGAATCTTGCTCTCTCACTCGCCAGAGCCCAGGGTTCACCGTCTAGTGGGTGCAGATAAAAAGCCATCTGATCTGTCTACAGCACAGCTCAGTTGCTCAGTCGTGTCCTTTGCGACCCCATGGACTGCAGCACGCCAGGTTTCCCTGTCCATCACCAACTCCTGCAGCTTGCTCAAACTCATGTCCATCAAGTTGGCGATGCCATCACCATCTCATCCTCTGTCATCCCTTTCTCCTGCTCTCAATCTTTCCCAGCATCAGGGTTTTTTCTAATGAGTCAGTTTTTCACATCAGGTGGCCAGAGTATTGGAGCTTCAGCCTGAGCATCAGTCCTTCTAATGAATATTCAGGACTGATTTCCTTTAGGACTGACTAGTTTGATCTCCTTGCAGTCCAAGGGACTCTCAGGAGTCCTCTCCAACACCACAGTTCAAAAGCACCAGTTCTTCGGTGCTCAGCTTTCTTTATGGTTCAACTCTGACACCCATACATGACCACGGGAAAAACCATAGCCTTGACTAGATGTACCTTTGTCGGCAAAGTAATCTCTCTGCTTTTTAACATGCTGTCTAGATTGATCATAGCTTTTCCTCCAAGAAGCAAACGTCTTTTGATTTCATGGCTAGTGGATACAAATAAAAAACCATCACCATCAATTTTGTTGTGATTTATATTTATTTAGGTACACAGTTCATTCGAACCAGCTGAGATAGCCAGTTTTCATAATTGGTCCAGCTTTGCGCCTCACATCAGTGACAGCATGTGAACCATTCCCACTCCTGATTACGTATGAGCAAAGTTTAAGAGACAGTTCTTTTCCTGCTCTGCTCACCCCAGGCCATAATTACCACTGTTTACAATTCTTCAGTCTATGTATTCATTCTGGGTACAGGTGGGGAATTCAAATTCATCTGTGGGTTAAGAAAGAATTATTCCATTTGGTCAACAATCCACCTTGTAAAATATATACATTTTTGAATGACATACATTTTAAAGTAAGTGCAATTTCCCTGAAATGATTTCATTTGGCCTAAACTTTTTCATTTATTTATATTCTTGGGACTTCCCTGGTGGTGCAGTAGTTAAGATTTTGCCTTCCAATCCAAGGGGTTCAGGTTTGATCCCTGTTTAGGGAGCTAAGAGCTCACATGTCTCCTGGCCAAAAAACCAAAACAGAAAAAATAGAAACAGTATTATAACAAATCCAATAAAGACTTTTAAAATGGTCCACCTTAAAAAAAAAACCCCAAATAATGCAATAACTTAAAAAAAAAACCCAACAAAATAAAATTTATATTCTTTACTTCATAATCGTAAAGGAAAAGGCAATAACATTTAAAATATTAACTCTTTTAAAATTGCATTTTGATTCAAAAACAAATTCTTTCTCTTTTTTAATATTTATTTGGCTGCTCTGGGTCTCAGCTGCAGCATTCGAGATCTTTAGCTGTGGCACGTGGGATCCAGTTGCCTGACGGGGGACTGAATCCTGGGCTCCCTGCACTGGCTGCATGGAGACTAAGCCACTGGACCACCAGGGAAGGCCTGAGAACAAATTCTTGAACAGTTGTATGGACAGTTAAATGTACCTGCTATTGCCTCCAATCAGTTTTTATTTAAATAAATATGAAAAACTGGGCAAAAACATTTCAGTGTTTTCAGCATGAAGTTTTCCACACAAAAATGGTACAAGATATGAGTCTATATGGAAGCTTATTACGGTTAAAAAAAAAAAAGCCCAAGAAACTAGACAATTAAACATTTATAGTCATAAGATCCCAAAGCAAGTAGCTAGCACCAGTTAGAGGTGCCCATGTATTCAGCAGCACGGCCCTGGCATGGCTGGAAAAAGACTCTTCTGGGGGAAGGAACTTGTGGGAACACCGTGAAGGGGAATGAACTTCAGTCCCAGGAAATTTCCACAACTAGCAGGGGGGTGTGCATCAGGATTTCACGGTGCAGAAAAGACAGTTTCCTGTGTGACTCCTGAAGAAGCAAAGATGGCTAATTCAATCTCAGGTGAGAACAGCCACAAGAATACAAGTTAGTTAGTCCCTTATCCATTATGACATTTATCCCACGGCACAATCGAAGAGGAAGTTCTTTCAATGATTTGATTTTTATTTTTTAATTTTGCGAAAAAGTTCAGAAGTGGCCTAGGCTCTAGACTCTTGTGCTTTTGCTCCTGACTGCATTCTGAAGGACTTGCAGGTCTTCACAAGGTAAGATTGCCATCTCTGGTGACCGTCTACCTTCCCAGACTCTCTGTGTTCAGGCCCTTGGAGGTATTTTCAATTTGTTGAACAAATGATTTGAGAGATGAAATTTTAAAAAGCGAAACCAAACACACCAGAAAATTGGGGGGAAAGTCACAAACAAAGTGATTTTATGGAGACAGAAGTTAAAAAAAAACACCCAAAAACGCTGGCCATGATTCAGTAGCGGGAGGAGACTGCACTCTTGAACAACAAGCATTTATGCCGCTGATCTTCCGAGACTTCATTCCAGCGAGAGCTGCACACTGTCAGCCTGGCTCTGCGGCTGCTGGTAGTCACACTTCCTGGCTATTAGGGAACAAACAAAACAAAAAACAAGAGGAGATACAATTAATAAAGTCGCAAAATCATTATGAGCTCACATCATTAAATTACAGCCAAGTCATGATTCTCAGTAAAGAACCAGCTTAGAATCAAACAATTTTTTTTTCACTAGAGGAAATTTATGATACTTTGTGATCCTCTAATTTCTCGTCAGTGCTGATATCCATTTTCAAATGTTTGTTATTATTGTTGTTTTGTACATTGGCTTATTCAGAACATTAAAATACAGAGTGTGTGCATGCTCAGCCATTTCAGTCACGTCTGACTCTTTGTGACCCCATGGACTGTAGCCCGCCAGGCTCCCCTGTCCATGGGATTCTCCAGGCAAGAACACTAGAGTGGGTTGCCATGTCCTCCTCCAGGGGATCTTCCTGATCCAGGGGTGAAACCTGCGTCTCCCACGTCTCCTGCATTGGCAGGCTGGTTCTTTACCACTAGCACCATCTGGGAAGCCCAAAATATAGGGTAAACACTAATTAAGCTACTAAACTCAAAATAACATTTTGTAATGTCCTTCTTATCCTCCACCTCCACCTCAAGATAAATGATTAATAATGCTTTTGCCCACATCATAAAGAATTTGACTATATATTAAATGACAAGCCTAAGACATTTACTGAACATTGTCATTAATATAAACAAGAAGAAAAAACAGACTTGCAATTCTGTACTGTTTTTGTTTTTCTGAGAAATAATTATTGAAGATCTTAACCTTCTTAACTTAGCCAAAGTCTTGTGAATGGTTTAGCTTTTGAAGCTTTTTAGTCTCTTCATTAAGTTTTTACCAGCCAAGGAAGAAATACTATTTGTTTATATACTCAGGGTGGATCCAGACTTTTGTGGCCTAAAGCTTATACAATTTGGGGGGGGGGTCCTTTTTTAAGGAATCTGCCTGCAATGCAGGAGACCCCAGTTTGATTCCTGGGTTAGGAAGACCCCCTGGAGAAGGGACAGGCTGCCCACTCCAGTATTCTGGGGCTTCCCTGGTGGCTCAGCTGGTAAAGAATCCACCTGCAATGCAGAAGACCTGGGTTCGATCCCTGGGTTGGGAAGATCCCCTGGGGAAGGGAACAGCTACCCACTCCAGTATTCTGGCCTGGAGAATTCCATGGACTGTATAGTCCATGTGATCACAAAGAGTTAGACACGACTGAGCAACTTTCACTTTCACTCTTTAAGGAAGAGAATTTTGTTTGCTTCTTTCTTGAACCTAGAGACTAAATCACGATTAGATATGTCATCAACACTAAGAATGATGCAATGTGAGGGGACTCATTAAAAGTGCAAATACTCACTATTTATAAGAACAACAGCTTCCAAAGACGTCCACATCCTAATCTCCATAATCAGTGAATATGTTACCTTCTAGGAAAGAAGGGACTTTAAAGATTTGATGAAGGACGTCGAGATGGGGGGATTACATAATCACCTGGGTTATTTGGCCCAACCTGATCCCAGGGGCCCTGAAAATCAGAGAACCTCTACTGGCTGAGTTCAGAGACAGAGGGAGCTTATAAAAATGCAAGAATGATCAGAAAGACGCGATGCCACTGGCTTTGAAGATGGGTGAATGAGGCCACAAACCAAGCAATGCGGTAGCTTCTAGAAGCTGGAAAAGGCAAAGAAACACACTCTCATTCACAGCCTCCAGAAAGAAACAGAACTCTGCTGACACCATGATTTTAGCCTAGTGAAACTGCTGTGGGACTTTTAACCTATAATTGTAAGATCTGTGCTGTGTCAGCCACTGAATTTGTGGTAATAGAGCAGCAGCAGAAAACTAACATACCTTACAAATACAGGCATTCAGACAAATTTCATTTTTATGCCATTCTCATTATAGAAGAAAAAGAACGGTACACTGGGTTTAAAATTGTATATGCTATGCTAGTAAATATTTTTTGGGGGGGATGCAAGCTAACTTCTGGGGGTTTCTTGTTTGTTTTTGTATTTTGGCTGCGCTGCGCGGCATTCCAGGATCTTAAGATTTCCCCACCAGGGATTGAACTCTGGCCTCCGTAATGAAAGCACTGAATCCTAACCGCTAGGCCACCAGGGCACTCCCACTAACCTTTGTTTTGAGTAGGCATCAAGGAAAGCCTAATCCTTTAATTTTCCATACAGGACTTCTTGCTCTCTGTGTTTTTGTTTTTAATACTTAGGTTTTCTTGGGGATTTTTTTTTTGAGATAAAATACAAAAACGTTACAATTTGCCATTCGCACCCTGTTTCGGCAGCTCAGGGCAGAAGCTCCTTCCACACTGCTGTGCTGCCACCAGCGGTGCCCGCCTGCCGCCCCACACTGCCCTCTCCCCTCCGCTCCCTGCTCCTCCAGCTCCTGGTGAGGACTCCACGCTCCGTCTCTGGGAATTTGCTTCACAGAAGTGAAATCACACACGATTTGTTTATTTTGTGACTGGCTTCCTTTGCTTCCTGATAAGAGTAATTATGAAGCATCATGTCTTCGAGGTTCCTGCCTGCTGTAGCACCCATCAGAATTCCCTTCCCTTTAAAGGCTGGATGACACCCTGTGCATGTACAGACCACAGGCTGTGGACCCACCCAGGAGTCAAGGACACTTGGGTGTTTCCATCTTCTGGCTGCTATGAATAACGCTGCTCTGTGAAATTCAGTTTTACTTCTTATTCTGAACTAGTAACACACAAATATGATACAAGATGCAAAAGGGACCCCAAGAGGAAACACTGAAAGTGTATCTTCCTCCCACCTGATCAGCCCTGCAGCCCCTTTCCACAGAGGAACTGCTGTCTATAGTGCTCAGTGTGAGATTTATGCTGAAGAATTTTTAGAAGTTCTACTTGTGTTATAAAAATTATATATATATATGTGTGTGTGTTTTTTCCTACTTTTCACCTGAAATTCCAGTCTCCTGAGAGATATACAGTAATATCTTGCTGATCATTCTTTCTTGCTTCTTTTATGCCCATGAGCACGCACACATTCACATTTAAGATTTTACTGCAGACATCTTTCTTTTAAAAATACGGTCTTTTCTCCTTGAGTTCCACAGCATCCCCATCAAGGTAATGAATGCTAATAATCTCACATGTATCTTTCCAAACTTTCCTCCAGGCTTGCATAATTATACAGAACATTTTTACAAACAATCCTATCAAAAAAATGGGCAGAAGACTTAAACAGACATTTCTCCAGAGAAGACATAACATATGGCCAACAAGCACATGAAAGCTCAATGTCACTAATTATTAGAGAAAGGCAAATCCAAACTACAAGGAGGTACCACCTCACACTGATCAGAATGGCCAGCATCAAAGTCTGTAAGTAATAATGTGGAGAAAACAGAACCCTCCTACACTCTTGGTGGGATGTAAACTGGTACAACCTTTATGGAGAACAGGATGGACGCTCCTCAAAAAACTGAAGATAACCAATCCTGAAACCCCACTCCTGGACACATATCCAGAGAAAACCAGAGAGATGAAAAGGTACATGTACCCTAATGTTCATAGGTGCATGATTTATAACAGCTAAGCCAAGGTCACTATTTATAATAGCCAAGACAACAGAAGCAATCTAAACGTCCCTATAAGTGAAGTCAGAGAAAGAAATATCATCAATATTGCTTATATGTGACATCTTAAAAAAACAAAAAAGATATAAATGAACTTTTTTTACAAAACAGAAGTAGACCCACAGACATAAAGGACTGGTGGAGGGATGAATTGGGAGGTTGCGATTTACATATGCACATGACTGAACATAAAAGATGACCAACAAGGACTTACTAAATAGCACAAGGAACTATACTCAACATCTTGTGGTGCTCTATAGGGGAAAAAGTCTGGAAAAGGATATATATATATATAAAAATGTATAGCTGAATCACTGGGCTATATACATGTAAACACAGGTATAACACAACATCGTAACTCAACTACACGTCGATAAGAAAAATGATATAGAACATTTTTACTACACACACATGTTGCAGTCATTCAGTATTAAAGGAGTGGCACCCTAGCACATATACAACTGCATCCTGCCCTTCCTCATTTAATGACACACCATAGAAGCCACACCTCATTTTCTTCAATGGTGGCATCAGAGGTTGTGGCGTGTTTGTACAATTCACCCTGGCTCTGTGCCCTTTAACCTTTGCTTCTTCTCCACCACCTACACACCCAATGTTCGGTGTCACAGGACACGTTAATAACCTCCGGCCTGGAAGCTGCTCCTATACACATATAATGTGGCTGCAGTACGCCGTCATTTAATTGAAACTGAAGTGACTGCAAACTCTGTAAACACAAAATTCAAACCCAAACTAAAAGTAGCTTCAACTCAAAACCTCCCCTTAGCTGGATCCTCAAAGTGCTCGTGGCCACCTCAACGCCGCTGCACATGAGGCAAGTCAGAGGAGGGCCAGACAGCAGTCTCATCGGCTAGCAAAACATCTAACTTTTGCTGAAGTTTCAAAAATGTGATCATATGAACAGCTTGCTAGGGCTCCTTTCAGGGGGAGGGCTCCATGTGGGAGAAGGGTCCTGAAGCACTTACTTCATGCAAACTGGGTACTATGCTTTTATTATCAGCTATTTAAAAAAAAAAAATTTTTTTTTTTCACTGAAGTATAGTTGATTTAAAATGTTGTGCTAGTTCCTGGAGTATAGCAAAGTGATTCACATATACATATATATACACATACTCTTTCCCACTAAGGTTTGTTACAGGATATTGAATATAGTTCCTTGTGCCACCATCATTTATTTCTGATAACCTTTGAAAACTAGACTCAAATAAAAAAAGTATGTATTAAACATGCTTATGTATGTAATAACGCTTCCTAGGTGGTGCAGTGATAAATAATCTGCCTGCCAAGCAGGAGACGAAGGTTCGATCCCTAGGTTGGAAAGATCCTCTTGGAGAAGAAATGGCAACCCACTCCAGTATTCTTGTCCAGGAAACCTCATGGACAGAGGAGGCTGGTGGGCTACAGTCCATGGGGTTGCAAAGAGGCAGACGTGACTGAGCGACTGAACAACATGTATGTAATTAGGCACAGAGTATACTTACAAATGGAGTACATTTCTAGTTGCTGTCTTAAACGAATTTTGCTTATTGTGTCATAAAAGTTGGGCTCTGACAGAGTTTCTGCTGGAGGTGGCAGACTGAATATCCTCATAATTTTCCTTTTATTCCTAAAACACAAAAACAATGCAGAAGAGAGATCTGTGTTCACAGCTATAGGACTGTAACACTCTCATTATCGCAGTAACCAGAAGCTGCATTAAAAGGACATACGTGGCCATGAGTCCATCTTCAGTTTTGTCCCTTGGCTCAAGTATTCTCTCTTTCACTAAAGTAAGAAGTTGTACATGTATAGTCACAGAGTTATAAGAAAGGAAAAGTAGTGACTAAATACACCCACTTCATACGACGTGTCTACCCTCATCTCTACAAAAAATGCCCTATTGTTTACAAGAATGCACAGACAAAAAAAAGTACGATTTTTTTCCTCTGTCATATCATGCAAATAAAAAGCTCATTTACTGGGGGTAGTGAATAAACAGAAGGTGAGCAGACCTGAATTCTGGGAAACAATGAATAAAACGGTCTCTTAAATAGAGTAGCATGGCCTTAGTGGGGTCATCTAGTTAAAGTGAACAGCAGCCTGTCTGTGCTTTTAAAACGGCGGGGTGGGGAGGAGGTGGCAGCTCTTTTTAGGGGACTGCTGTCACCTGCCAGTAGCCCTGGGGCAACCCCTGGGGGCTTTTCTCTCCCCGCCCCCAGCCTGGAGTCCAGGAGGCCAGCGGCTCAGGGTTCATGGGGCTGTGAAGGGCAAGCCTGCGTGTCTCACAGGCAGTGTGAATCTGAACTATTTCCCAGGCCAGGCAGCAATTATTCTTGGATGACTAACTACCCTGAACTGTCTGATGCCTCTGACCTTGGTACATGACGTCACAAAGCATGTGGCTATGAGCAGAAGCAACTCAATCCAACTACTGCTGTTCTTCCTCTTCAAAGCAACACCTCCCTCCCGTTTTGTTCACTGTACTTAAGGGAGTCAGGGAGAGTGGAAAAGGACAGTTTAACTGCACGACAGTGTCTGGAATGACGGCAGGAAGTATCTGTGGAGGATTTACACTAATGCGCCACTTCAGGGACACAAAGGTTAAACGAAAGTCCCTGTTCTCGGGGGACTGAGTATTTGCGGGATGGACAGACAAGAAATCAGACCATACAACATCATTCACTAAGTTCTGGGACACAGTCATGCGTAAGGAACAGAAGGGAAAGCTTGAAACGTGCGAGGACAGAAGTGCTGAACATGTAGGAGTTAGTGTTTGTGCATTTCAGGGACAAGGGCCAAAAATATGTGCTCATCCGAGGGCGACAGTGAACTGGCTGAGTGATAACTCTGAGCTATATCAGAAGTGATAGAATGGGAGTACAGAGCAGCTGGCCTGGGAGCCCAGAGCTGCACTCACAGCCCGTCTCTTGGAGCAGCTGGGTTTTCCAAGCCAAGACGGGGGGTCTGGTATTTGAAGGCAGGGCCAAGGAGAGACAGCTTTCATAGAAGGAACCAAAATGCTGGTGAAATCGTTTTTGTGCATTGAATTTAGATCAAACCAACCAACCTGCAAAACTTGTAAATGCTTAGAATCTTATCATCGACCCAGAGAACCTCAAGCCTTTACCTCTTGGCATACATGAAGAGCCCGAAGCTGACAAGGATCACCACCAGGTACACGTTGGTAGCTTCATTCCAGGCCTCGTGGACGCTGTAGTCCATGGCCCCATCGTCCCCCATCACTCCGTAGCCCCCAGGCATGGGCCTGGAAGACAGTAAAGAGGGCGGGTGATGGTGAAGGAGGGACAAAGGCAGGCAAACAGAGGGCCTGGGCCAGCGGCAGCCCCTGCTTGCCTCTGTGTGGCCCAGGAGCCAAAAATGGTTTTACATTTCCAACGGAGACATTCTAAATGGTTGAGAGTACTACCAGTATCTTCCGTTTTTACCTCACAGCCCTCAAAGCCTCAAATATTTACAATCTTACAAAACAGACTCACAGACTTAGAAAACAAATTTAGTTATCAAAGGGGAAAGGGGAAGGGGGGTTGGGGAGGGATAAGTTAGGAGTTTGGGATTGATACATATGCACCACTATATAGTAAATAATCAACAAAGATCTACTGTGTAGCACTGGGAACGCTAATCAACACTGTAATAAACTATACTGGAAAACAATCTGAAAAACTGGCTGTATGTACAGGTATGATTGAGTCACTTGTGCTGTATATTTGACACTGACACAATATTGTAAACCACCACTCATACCCCAGGATATTAATTAATAAAATAAAAAATTAAGTTAAAAAAAGGCAAGAAAAAGTTGACCAACCCTGATCTAGATCACTAAGGCACAGAATGCATCTCCCCTTATTTCTGACTTTGAAACATCACAGCTCCTACATAAAAGCTCAAACTTGGAGATTAAAATAAAATATTTCTAAAAGGATATGGGTTGAAATATCACTGCACATTTTCCAACCTGTAACTGTTACCCAAGCAAATGCACCTGAATATTTAAGACACAGGCTCACACAACTGGCTGGGATGCTAAGAGAACAGCACAGTGTTGGACTGTTGACAGTGGCTTTGACGAGATGCGCTGGCCAGGAGCACGCTCTTCTGCAGGCCCCTGATGCACCTGGAAAACGAACATGTCTGCAGCTTTATCTGTGCAGCCTTGGCCTCCTGGCCAAATGTGGTTGAAAGAAGCTATAAAAAGTCACTTTTTGCTATTTACACAGCTGTGACTTCTATTCAAGGAAGTGCATTCTTTGGACATTCCCACAGAAAATAAGAGTGATAACAGCAAGTGTATCAAGCAGTGAGGGAAAGAGTTCTGGTTTCTCACTTGCTGCTGGGAAGTTCACTGAATTGTTCCTTAAAGAGAAAGTTCTTCCCTTGTGTTAAATCTCAACTAAGTCAGTATAAATGATTTAATATGTGGAAGAAATTCAGAAGTGTTGTTTTAGACACTCTATCAAAAGGAGAATAACTGAAAAAATGACAGGTGATAACTTACTATAGTTTCTAATGATAGTCATTTTCTAATACCAAGAAAAAGGGTATGTGGAATGTCTAAGAAATCATTTTACAATTTTTTCTAGACATCCTAAAATAGTGAAAGCATTGCATAAATTCCTCCACTGAAATATCTGTCCTATGAGCCTCCAAAATGTTTTTTAATGTAGATTTGTCTCAGTTAATAAGTGCACATTAAGGGCAGTCTGTTTTCTTACAGTTTGCCTCTGCCTAAAATGAAATTTCCCCAGGGTCTGCTCCCAGATCAGGTGGCTTATTGGCCCCTTTCTTACACCTGCAATCTCTAGCAGAGGTCTGGGGACAGACTGAATTCATTTATAATAAAGTGAGTATCACTGAATGGCCATTTAACTTAAATTCTAGACACTGAGGGCAAGAGTAAAGTCTCTGAAACACCTATGTGTGTCTGATGAAAATAAAGATTGGTCTTAGGAAAATTAGTCAGAGACAAATAAAAACAGAATTTAAATGATAAAATTTAATAGCTGCAAGATCTAAAGACTACTAAATCATTAAACATACACAGTTGCTAGCTACTAAAGACTGGCGATGGATTTTTTTTTTTTAAAGAAAGTGGGAGGTGCAGAGGGATTTGCTGTTATTCACAGTTTCGATTCTTAAACTGAACTCCAGAGTTTCTCTGAATGTAACATCATTCATGGTAAGTAATCAACCTACCTTAAAAGGGGAAACTTTTCAAAGATCAGAGACTACAACGGTCTTTATGGGTAAGGAACCTAGAATTTTTTTCTAGATTTTCGTTGGTGCCAAAATGTAAAATAACAATGACTGTTTCGGCTGTGAAGAGATGACTTTAGGGCTTCCCTGGTGGCAATGGTAAAGAATCTGCCGGCCAAAGCAGGAGACGTGGGTTTGATCCCTGGTCCAGGAGGATCCCACATACCTCGGAGAAACTAAACCCTTGAGCCAGTGCTTTAGAGCCCAGGAAGCACAATTGCTGAGCCCATTTGCTGCAGCTACTGACGCCCTTGTACTCCAGAGAAGCCCTCCCAGAGAGAGGCCGGTGCACTGCGAAATACAGAGTATCCCGCCCCCCGCCCCTGCTCGCCACAACTAAATGAAGCAACAATGAAGACCCAGAACAGCCAAAAATAAATAAAATTAGTTTTTAAAAAAGAGAGAGAGAGATGACTTTAGATGTCTGATTTGAGATGCTGTGGAAGGCCTGGCATTACCATGCCGTTCCTGAGTGGGGTAGGTTTCAGGATTGGGAGTTAATAAGAAGTGAGAGAAGGAATGAGGAACATACATATCTATGGCTACTGAGACATTTTGTAGGTGCCCTATATCTGACACAACTGTGAAAGGGTCTCCTACCTGTGTTCTAACACCTGACTGTTCTGAGCCAGGTTAATTTCTTGCTTCAGCGTTTCACAAAATTCTGTTCCTGCACCCCTCAATAAATGGTGTGTTCCTACAGAGCTGTCTTCCTCCTGCTACAAATATGCCAGTCTCTCGTTATATTTGAAGAAGAATTCTAAAATACTGCTGACCACAAATGGTGAAATTTTACCAAGAGTTATACAACTTGATTGGTATGCAATGACAGTATGCAGTAACACTACTGTTCCGGGGACACGCACTTGAGTTATTTTTAGTAGTGTAGTTGTGAAAGATTTGCACTAGGGGTAGGCCTGTCCTGCCCATTCCTCCCTCACAACCAATGACACGACTCTGTAAGCCTGTCCAAAGTCACCGGACAGACGACGGCTCCCATGTGGCCTGAATTATGACCAGCCCCCTCCCAACTCACCACAGGCTAACCAAGTGCACACACAACCTCCCTCCTGAGGATAAAATGCCCAGGGGCGTTACAATGGTTCCTTCCTGGCAAGTTAATGGATATTTCAGCAAGCTCACCGTGCGCTTGGACTGTCATGCAGGGCTTTTCTGAGAAAACAGAACCTTTCCCACATATTCTTCCTGTAAATTAATGCTTGAACTATTTCAGCAAGGAGTCGCTGAAATAAGTAACCAGAACATAAGTGCCCAACATAAGTATCCAGAGATAAAGTTGGCAAAACAAGAAGTAGGGACAGATTTCAGTTTGACAAACTCTTACGTAGAAAACTAAAACGCTTCTTCGGATGAAGTGACTATCATAAACTAAATATATATATTTTCCCTGTTTGGGGTTCCTGATACTACCTCTGGGGGTGGTGGTTTGGTCGCTAAGTCGTGTCTGCCCCTTGCGACCCCATGGACTGTAGCCCACCAGGCTCCTCTGTCCGTGGATTTCTCCAGACAAGAAGACTGGAGTGGGTTGCCAGGCCCTCCTCCAGGGGATCTTCAATTTTGAAGATCCCTTGTCATCACGTCTTAAATGTTACCAATTTCGCCTCTCACTTAAGAGCTTTGTTATTTTGAAATGAATCCAGATGAGAATCACTTCAACAGTTCCACGAGTTCCTCACACAACACAATCCACCGCCACTATTGACTGGATTTTTTCTCTCCATCCTCCGAAGCGCTCAAGGTTTGGGGCTCCGGGAGCGGAAAGGGACAAAGTCACAGGCCTCCAACCGGCGGGCCGCTGAAGCATCGCATGGGCATCTGAGGGCGCCCGTGCCGGGCAGCCCACAGACTCGGTGACTCCTCACCATCCGCGTGCTGGGCGCACTCGAGCTCCCACTTGGCAAGAGCCCCGGGGGTGACGGCGGCGGTGAGGGTGAGGGTTACACAACTCGCCCGGAGCCACCCCCAAGCGGGCGAGTCACGCACTTGCGCGCTCCCGACCCTACCCAGAGGCGTGAGGCGCGCTCTTCCCGGAAAGCAAGAGTGGGCGGGCGGGCGGTGAAGCCCCGTCCCGGGGCGGGCAGCGCGCGGCCCCACCCCGCCAGCCCCGGCCTCCCCACCCGCGTCTCTGGGGCGCGGAGCCGGCGGCTCGCTCCGGCCGGGGAGCGGGCAGCGGGCCTGGGGGCGGCGCGGCGGGGCGGGGCGGGGCGCGCGGCGGGGCGGGGCCGCGCGGGGCGCGGGTCGCGGGGCCACTCACGCGGCTCGCTCCGCCGGCGGCGCGCGGCCGGGCTGCTCCGCGGGGGCTCTGTGCGCCGCGCCGGCGGCCGGACGCGCGGACCCGGTTCCCGCGCGGACCGGACGGCGTCTGCTTCGTCACTTCCTGCTTGCCCGGCGGCTTCCGGAGGGAACGAGGAGCCAGGTCTTTCCCCCTCACCCACCCCGCCCCGCCCCGCTCCCCTGCCAGGGCGCGACCCGGGGAGACGCGGGGGCCGCCCGCGGGCGCGTGAGTGCGGCCCGGCTCCCCTCCCCGACCCCGCGGCGCCGGCCCCTCCCCGCGGCCCCCGGGGCTCGGTGGCCCGCGTCCGGCCGCCCCGGCCTGGAGTCCACCTGCGTCCGGCCGCGACGCGCCCGAGCGCGCGGGCGAAGGGACGGGGGTCTCCCGGCCGCCGCGGCGCCGGCCCGGCGTGCGAGGAGGGCGTGTGACTTGGCCGCCCCCGCCCCGTGTAGAGATTCAGCTTGGAAACGCGAAGATTCCCTCCCCCCCCGCCCCCCCGCCGTTCGTGATGTGGGCGTAGGGTTACTTTTCTTATTGACTTAGGAAAGCACGTGCTCTCCAAACTGGCTTTTGCTCTGTCCCTGACATCGTCAGCGATTCCCTGTCATCGTAAATGATGCGTGGCCGAAGCGACTGAAATGTTTTAAAAGCCGGATGCTTTCAGGATGATGTAGTCTTGTCAGTTTAAGTGGCTTTGGGGTATAATTTTGTGTGTGTGTAACGACTTGAAAAAAAAAAATTCCGGCAAGAGACATGTAATGAATTTATGTAGGATTTCAGCGTCAGTATTGAAGTAATCAGATTTCAGTGGTTGGCGCAGCCTCGCAAGTAAATGGCCCCTTATCCACGAGGTTGCGGTCTTAACTGTTCCTTTTGAACGAGTTCTCTAGGATCAGCTGACTGCTGATTATAATTCGCACTAGACGACGTAGGGGTTGTGTCGTTAGTTGATAAGCAGAGATTAGAGCTAACATTTAACATTCTGCCCCGTAGCAAGTTTTCTCTGCTGCTTTTTGGATCATTCTGTTCAAATTAAACTCACCTCTGTCTAGATGAATAGTATTGCTTGGTGCATAACATAAAAACATTATTTCTGGTAGTAACACGTATTAGCTTATATACATTATGTATATGTAATCATGCTTTACAACTGCTTAGTATGATTACAAAGTTGGAAAATTAGAAACAGTAATACTGGGCAAAGTTGAGTAATGGTTGTTTGCCAGACTTGTTTCAAATCATCTACACGCTTTACCTCATTTAATCTTTGGGATAACTTTTTGCATAAACAGAGGTTACTCTGAAGTACTTCAGTACACGAGTTTTATTTGAATGTGTCCAAATGGTGAATATGTACATTAATTGCTTCTGTTTCTGTTTTTCGTAAAACAAGGGTGTTGGCAATATAAAATGACTCAGAGTAAATGTGTTTTTCAAGTTGGAAGGTGGCTTTTCAATTGCATGGAATTGCAGTTAGTCCCTTTATTGGAGTATTCAGTAGTTTTCAAAGCCCTGTGTCTCTTTTGTTATCAAAGTTCCCATTACATGTCATTGTCACTCAATCAACAGGCTGTGCTTGGACGTTCAGAAAAGGTAAATGTTGGGAAAGCCTTAATTGCTCCTGGTGAAAGGTCTCCTCTTACCCTGTTTAGTCTCTTAGTGACATTCCTAATTAAGAGGTTAACAAATGACATACAGGAAGGGTGATTTTCCAGTACCAAACCAAGGGAATAAAAAGCAGTGGGTTGACTGTTACTTTGTTGATGAGTCTAACATTCATGGGTACATGAAGGTTAGGAATGTTATGTAATCTATGTTGTAGGGGTTCTAACCGCATTTTTTAGTTTGCCTTTGAATGTCTTAACATATTCGAATCCAGTACTTTGTGCATTAAGGAATTTTTGACTGGATTTAATTGAGTAGTTTGGACATCAATTGAGTAGTTTATTCTGGGTCTTCCCTGGCAGTCTAGTGGTTAAGACTGTACTTCCAGTGCTGGGGGCGTCGTTTCCATCGCTGGGCGGGCAAGTTGTGCAGGGCAACCAAAAAAAAAAAAAAAAGATTATTCTGTTTCCAGGGGCGATGGTGTGCATCCTAGGAGAGTCGAAGCGGTTGAAAGGCCTGCAGAGGATGAGGGAAGCTCTCAGAAACATGTCTTATTTGTGATGAGAGCGTGTTGGACTCAACCCATCTTTGTATAGTGGTCCGCTATCAGTAAGGGATCTGAGAACGCTTTTGCCAGTCGATATGTATGAGAGGTTCCTTTACCCAAAGGCATTCTCTTCCAGGAGGAGATGAGTGGAGGTTTGGCATCAGTGGAAGGATGTAGAAGACAAAGGTGCAAGTGTTAATCCTTCCGCCCATGGTGACTGACTGATTCCTGCCACCACATGCATCTTCAGGCCCTTCCCTGGGAGATGTTTGATGTCTGTGGGCAGGCGCTAGTAGAGGAGGGAAGGGAGAGGGTGAGAGGAGCCAGATCCCAGGGCTTTACGAACGGGCTTTCGTTTGGACCTCCATGGCCTCCGAAAACCTTCCCAACAACACTGACTCTGTGTGTCTGTAAACCTCTTATATGTTATTTGTGTTCAGAAATAATAGAGAATGTCTCTTTAATGTGCTTCATAAACAGTGGAGCGTATTGAGAGTACAGAACAGGAAAAGTTGTTAACTTCTGTGGGTTTGCCATTGTTGGAAGCCGGAGCGACCGTAATGCCAGCCTTGGCTCCTGTCTGTGAGGTGCTGAAGCGGTGTTGTGTTTCATCCGAGAGGAGAACACGCCTTCCTCTTACTTCAGAACTCAGCTGTCACGTGGAGTGAGTGCCCTTTTAGGTCCTGCGGTGCTGGGGCCTTTTCTAGGTCCCTCGTGGCCGTATCTCGGCCTGCGGAAGGTGTGCAGTGAATGTTTGTGGGATGAACAGGTATGCCAGAATCCGCTCTCTGTGCCCGCCTCTTGTGGAAGTTCCACTCTCCTCCGGGGGCAGGGAGGGCCACTGCAGGCTCTCCCTCTCCACGGCCCCAGCTCACAAGGAACCCTTGGCATTCAATCTTTTATGGCTTTATATTGTTGTAGGAGTGTTTCCCTGTGTTTTGTTTCCCCACCCAAAATACAGGCTGTTTGAGGGTAGGGAATACATGTTTGTACAGGTCTGTATTTGAGAACTTCCTTGTTCATCTGGTATAACAATCTATACCAAGTAGGTTCAATTTTACCTCTTGAGTGACTAGTAGGTGCCATGGGGAAATGTCAGAAATACTCAAGATGTGGTCCCAGGCTTCAAGTGGGTAAACATTGAGCAAACATTGTGTACACATGTGGAACAGTATGAGAACTTGGAGTTACATAAAGCAAATAACAATAGCTACTCTTGATGGAGTGCCTAGAACGTGCTTTTGCATCTAGATTTATTTGACTCTCACAACAACCCTGTTGTCCCATTGTAGCCCCATTTTTTACATGGAGAAACTGAGGCACAGAGAGATTCAGCCACGTACCTGAGATCACAATACGAGCAATAAGCTAGGGAGACAGGATGCGAACCCCAGGCAGCCTGGCTCCGAAATCAGGGTGGATTCTCCCCGGAGCTTTACTTTATCAAAGATAGAAGAGAGAGCTAGAACTTGACCCTAGTTTCTCAGCTGTACAAACTCTTTTACAATTTCAGAGTAGCATTCACGGTGGCAGTGACCCTCAGCTACAGAAGCAATGCCGGATTTTCCAGGCAGAAGAGGTTGATAATGAAATGGTTGAGGGGACTCTCTTTTGATGTGACTGGAAGCACCGAGAAGAGAAACCGGACTTTGCATTTCAAAGCTGAGTGAGGAGCAGAGCTCTTGCTTGGTATACTCCTGTTGAATTCTAGGACAGTGATTCACAAGGACAGAGGGCCGTGACTGTTTAGGATACTAATTCAGTGTCTACTCATGTGAAATAAAACAGTACTGAATGAACTCGTTACTACCTTTCTTTTTAAAAACACTTTTAAACCCCTAGTGAATGTAACTTACCAGAATGGGAGTGTCACGGAAGGCTTCCGGTGCCCATCTGTCCGGTTGCCTGGTCCTTATATGAAATCTTGACCCACTTCTTCAGCTTGTCTTGGACAATCGAGCACACTTTTGGGGCCCGGAGGCCTCTTCCAACCAAGTTATATTTCTCTGGTGGATTAAAAAAAAAAGTAAAACAGCACTGTTGGTTTGGTAACAGACCTGGAGTAAGGTCACTTGGAAGCCACATGAACTTGGATGAGGGCCCGCAAACAGAACGCAGCAAGATGCAGGAAAATGGTATTCTTCGAAAGCCCAGTTTTATGTCCCTTTAGTTGGGAGACTACAGTGTTATTTTGGGGGTGTTGGGCGCCGACAGAGTCCGCTGAACCCACATGACCCCGCCGATAGGGAGCACCACCATTGGCCCTGGAATCCGAGGAAGAGGTGCCCTGGAGCAGGCCCGGGCCTGGTTAGCAGCTCTGCAGGTACGTGTTCTGGGGGACACATCACTTCTGCTGGGGGGTCAGGGGGACAGCCTTGTAATTTCAGTAAGAAATGACAGTGCTGCTCTCCTTTTAACATCAGCTCATATTCTGGGATGGCCCGTCAGCAAAGGAGCTGATGGCTGTGAATATTGCCCGAAGTTGTGTTCTATTTAAGTATCCAAGGCTATAGTTGGGGCTAAAAGAATCTACATGGAAGTGTTTTTATCCAACTGGCAGGTCAGCCTCAATCTTAGTTTCAGCCTCCTCTCTGAACGGGGGTTTTTAGAGAAAGAGACAGTGATTCATTAGTCTTAAACCTGTCAAGCTGAGGTGATGGTGTCCCTCCTGCCCAGTTTTATGACTCTGAGGGTGGTAAGTGGCATCCTGACCAGTATGGCGGTGGTTTAAGCACGAGTGTAGACAGAACGACCCAGGCTGCTTAGACAGTGACAGCCACAGATGCCTCCTCTTAATCCAGAGATTAGAGCTCCCCAGAGCCGCAGCTGGGGTGGGGGGGCAGCTCTATTTTAAGCCCTCCTCAGGTGATCCTGGTACCCATCTCCACCTGTTGGAAGAACCAGCCCTGTATTTTATAGATGAGAGAATCAGGGCAAAGTCAAATGGCTTGCCTACAGCTGGCTTACTGGATTCAAGATTTTATCACCACATAGTGTGCAATTTCAGAGTTTTATGGCTGGAAGAAATTTTCCAGGGCATCAATTCTGTAACTCACTTTATGTCTCCATATAAATGACACTTGTTCATACCATTTCCAAGTCAGATATGAACACAGAGAAATAGTGTTTTCTCAAAGCCTGTCTTCTGTTCTGGCCAAGGTAAAGATCAAAATGTCAGTCACCAAAATTTCCTTATAATTTTAATGGATACTTTTTGTTAATTTCAGGAACAACAAGTTATTTGCAGTATTTTTTATTATGTAACCTGTGATGCCCTGTAACATTTTTTTTGGAAACTATAGAATATTAAAAACTGAAGTGAAAGATTGAAATTTTTTATGAGTTACTTACTCAGTCTTAGCAAGAATTTTCACTACTTTATTAGAGTTTCTTTTGGAAATCTGGTTGATTTTTAACTGTTTTTTTGTTTGTTTGTTTGTTTGTTTTCTTTTCTTTTCAGGGTGTCTTACCTTGGAAACAGCACAGTTTGGCTTCCATGTCTTCTCTGAGCTTAGAGAATCCTCTTTTCACCATGTCGTCAGTAGGGACAGAAAACCAGGTTTGTTCCTTCAAGACGTGTCCCAGTGCCTTGGAACAGCAGCATTCCCAGAAGTAAATAATCATGTCAGATGCCTGTGAAAAGACCGTAGGGCCAAGTGACCCGATATAATATTCATGGAAGAATGGTTTAAAAAAGACTGAAGAAAAGGCAAATTTCAAGAAGCAACCCAATGCAGTTTAGCATTTTTGAGCACCTGAAAGAAGATAGTTCTGCAGTTACAAAGCGGCACGACTCGTGTGTCTTAGGTTGTCTTTGTTAACCCATTGCTTTAGTGTGTGATATTGAGTAATTTTTTCCTCTACTGCTGAAGCTGGTAATCTGCTTACAATCAGAGTTTGCTTCTGTGTGGATAGAAAAGTAGTAGATATAATAGGGGAAACGGGAGCTTGTAATAGAATGCTGGCCCCAGACGTTGACTTTCACTGAAGAATTCCTCAAAGTGCCGGATGTCGAGGAATTGCTTCTTCTCAGTGATTGTTCAAAACTCTGTGACTTCAGGATCATTTCCTTTATCTTCCTCCGGCCTGTGTATGTGCCTGCTTTTTTCTTGCATGGATTTTTGGAAAAATCCGATGACTGTAGTTTTTCAGCTTAAAAATAAGAAAAAAGTAAGAATTATATGAATCATAGCTTCACGAACAGACTTTCCTAGGATCAAGAGTAGAGTAATTGTCATTCTTTTTTTTTTTTTTTTTTTTTACTGTTTTTATGTTCTTATTCGGTGTTTTGTTTTCTTCCTCTGTTTTCTAGAGGGAAATGAAGCATGATCACGATGTTCTGTTTTTAGTTATGTAGGATCCCAGATGTAGAATTTACAGGAAATTTACATCTTTTCCCCATTATTGTTCTAACCTTGTTTTAAGCTTCCATCAGACTTCTTTGTAGCAATATTAATGTAAAGGTCACGTTCTTACTCTGCCCTTTCTTTTTTACCTCCTAGTAAGAAGCAGGGATTTCTCCACACACTGATAAGCCCAAAAAGAGAAAAAGTGAGAGAGAGGAAGCTTTTGTGATCAACAAATGAAGCAGTTGATCATAAGGTCATTGATGTGTGTGTACATGTGGTCATTGTGAAAGTCAGTGTGTGGATTAGAGCTGAGATGGTTAACAGACATGAGTAAATTGGACTGTTTTCAGCTCTTCTAACTTCTGTTAAGTCAGTTGACCTCATCAATATCTTTTCTCCTCTGGAGATTGTGGAAACCATTGTTCTTAATCAAGTTTTACCCAACAGAGAAACAGAAACAAAACAGATTTTAAAATTTAATAAAGTGAAATTCCTGAAACCATTTGTCTTTTTTTTTTTTTTTTTTTTTAGTATTTCCTTTCACAGAGGCTTCTTTTACCTCATTCCTTTTTTTTTTTTTTTTTTTTTTTTTGCCTTTCTGCCCTGCCTAGGTCTCACCTGGTCTCACTTTAGTGTTTATTTCTCATCTGTCCAGAATTTCTTGTTTGGTGTCTTTCCTTCCTGTCTTTTTCTATGACTCAGCCTCCCGTCAAGAATGCTCTCTGTTCTCTTTCCCCTCGGTTTCCTTGGGCGTACCCCTTCCCAGCCGGCCCCTGCGGTCTTGTCTTGTTATCACTTGTCGGTCCCGGTTTCCCGCCTAGCCCCGCTTGTTTCTGTCACTTCCCCTTGGGTGATGACTTCTGTATCACCTGCCTGTTCTGTCTGTAGCTCTCCCTGGCCTGTCATGGGCTTCATCCAGTTCCAATTCGTGCTCAGCACACTGCATTTATTGTTGTTTTCTTCCTACGCCTTTTGTGTATTTGCTCCATGAGCCTTTTTCTATTTTCCTCGTCCCTGGGTGGCAGGCATTACTAGATGAATTTGTTGGCTGTATTTGCATGGAACCCACGTCCTTGCTGTGTATTTCCTGGGTAGCCAGGATGAATCAGTTATTATTAACTTTTCTTGGAACATTGAGCTTCCTGTGTTTTCTGCTTCTAAGAATTAGATGGGTATTCTAGAAGACTAAACTTACTCCAAAGAGAGGGTAATCATACAATGCTGGCATTTTTAACTCTTTATTCAAGAGTTCTTGCCTTTTCAGTTCACTGCCTTGCCTTGAAAGAGTAAAGACAGACATTCAAAGCAGGTTTGGGGTTAGGGGTTGGTGGAAAATGGGAAGAGAAAGGTAAATACCACAAAAGGACACATAGTTTCTAGAACAGGAAGGAAAACTAAAGCCACAAACCGCAGACACTTAAGATTTATTAGGTAAAAGGTCCCCTAAAAGGATAAAAAGTATCAGTAATTCTGTGAATGAATGTTAATACAAGGTCATCTTTTTTCTATACTTTCAAGTTCTAAGACTTGAATAACAAACTTAATCTTGTAAATATTTTATTTTGCGAGACTTGATGTCTCCTTAAATATTAACCTGTGTCATTTTGTAACAGTCTCAAAGTGTCATTAGTAACCAACCCTGTTAGCGGCTTGCCTTGGAAAGCATATAAATTGTATACTCTTGCCCTTTTGGACTCTGGAGTCGATGAAAAGGTAGCTTTTTAGCAAAATGTTATGCTGTTGATGATTTACCTTGTCATATTTTTTCCTTCATTCTTGCATGTGTTATGAGTGTGGTGCTGTGTGAATAAACTACTGAAAGTAGACCAATGTGAGTACAGATGCAGCTTTATTAAACGTAAAAAAGGAAAACCCTGTAAACCGCATGGTGATCGTTGCACAGTCATCTCTGACTCTGCGACCCCCTGAACTGTAGCCCAGCAGGCTCCTCTCTCCATGGAGTTCTCCAGGCGAGAATACTGGAGTGAGTAGCCTTTCCCTTCTCCAGGGGACCTCCCCGACCCAGGGATTGAATCTGGGTCTCCTGCATTGCAGGCAGATTCTTTACTGTCCCAGCCGCCGGTGAAGCCCATACAATGTAGTATCTAAATACTGCTTTTAAGGACCACCCGGCAGATGGAAGCTGATCACACTGAATCTTCTTTCTGCCAGAGCCTGCCCTGATTCTGATGCTGGTTGTCAGGTATCTTGGAGCTGATTCTGTCACGTTCACCACTCTTGAGCAGATAGTAAAATCAACATCAGAACCACTGTTAGGTACTAACAGGAAATGCGTGCAGGCATGCTGAGTGCAGCACTGTGGTCTGAGGTTCCAGAGGTGGGCAAAGGGTGGGCTCTTCTCTCCAGAAGCTCATCACTGGGTAGGGAATTGTTGATGAGTGAACGATCACAACGCAGTGGGGCAAATGCAAAAGTGTATTTACATAAGCAGCAGCTATCACAGGAACAGGTTAATTGAGAGAGTCAGAAAGTATAAGTCAGAAACCTCAGAATGTCAGATACAATGTGTAGATAATGGGTGTGTGTGTTGTGATTATGACGTCGTGGGTGGTCCCTCCCTTATTACCTGTGTGAGTCTGACAGCTTCCTTAAAGCACTCAGACGCAGAGTCTCCACTTAAAATAGTGAAAATTGTCTAGTAATCTTGCGTGGGTTCAATGAGGTAATATGTGTACGGGGCCATATGGTTCCCTATGGGCTTCCCAGTGGCTCTAGTGGACGGTCCCTTCTTCAACTATTGTTTAGAATTTGGAGAACACGACACCCGGGAGAGAACGTGGCAGATGAATGTACTCTTATATTGTAGACAGTGTTGCTGCCGGAAAGAAGTGGAATTCCCATTTCACATATGCTTTTATAGTTTTTAGGAAAACTTACCTTACTAAAAACCTTACAGTCAATCTCTCTCTTTTTTTTTAAACCAAAAGTTTATTTCCCTTAGTCTACCTGCCAGATGTAGTTCTCAATGGCAATTATTTCTTCCCATAAGTCACATCCATTCTCAAATTTAAAATTTGCTCACTTAAGCATATGTGATAAAAATATGCCATTAGCTTTTAAAGTGTTTAGCTAGAGTGATGTCACTGGGATGGGTTCTTGTAACTACTGCTTTCAGAAAAGTTGGAGGAAGACTTACTGGATACAGATGCTTTGGAATGTGTTATGAAATCAGTCTTGGTGTAGTTATAATCTCAATGCCTGAATTTTGTGTGAACCTGAATTTAGTTCCTGGATTATATCTACATTTTTGTTCTTTCAAAAGGTGTTTACATTAACTTCTTTCACCAGAACCAAACTGCACAATCTGCATTTTCTAGTGTAGTAGAAAAAAATTGATGGGCTTCCCTGGTGGCTCAGTGGTAAAGAATCCACCTGCCAATGCAGGAAACATGGGTTCGATCTCTGGATTGGGATGATCCCCTGGAGAAGGAAATAGCAACCTACTGCAGTTTTCTTGCCTGGGAAATTTGATGGACAGAAGACCCTGGCAGGCTACAGTGCATAGGGCAGCGAAAGAGTTGGACACGACTTAGCGCCTAAACAATGACAACAAGAAAAAATTGGCACAATGATTTAATATTATTTTGCTTGTGGTTGGATTCATTTCTTCCTAAATTAGCAGGTCTTAAAGTATGGGTCTGTCTTAGACCATGTGATAAATCAGGCTGGGTTAAGTTTTAACTGGAGACAAATGATTCTTTTGATCTGGGTTGTTTAGCTTTGTTGCAAAAGTCCACTAATATCATGATTAGATTTGTCTATTCTCTTGTGATTTTGTGTATTATAAGGCTTATAGTTGGGGTAATTTTTAAACATCAGTGTTGAGACGGAACTACCAGCCCTGAATTTTGATCAAAATATGTGTCTTGTCTAAAGCATCTTCAGTAAAGTTCATTGTTTGCAGTCCAGGGATTTGAATCAGTTTGGTTTGTGTTTTATGGCTGGTGTTAATTTGTATTGACATTCCATTCACAGGTAGGGAAAGTGTATTTCTATAGCAAGGGAGGCACTTGGTACATTACTGTTCCAAAGTTTAGTTTTAAGCTGGCTGTGATTGGACAAGTGGCTTTCACTTAGTATTCTCAGCAGCAGTCCTGTGGGCACGTTAATGTGTTTAATCGCCCTAATGAATGTCTAGTTAGCAGAGGCTCTGGGACCTCACAGCAGATGGCGTGGGACGGGCTGAGCT